CATCACGGTCACGTCGAGGCACGCATACGGCACCGTCTTTTTCACAGTCACATGAAAACTGGTCTAAAAAAAGAGGAGTCTATTCAGGTCACTTTACCTTCATTCTGATCCTCGCCACCTAGCCCTGTATCTCCTACCATTGGTTCATAAARCTGCTCGCTTTCATCGCCTTGGGAGAAGTCTTGTCCTGTTYCTTGACGATACTGATTCTCATAGARGTCGTCTTCTTCCTGTTCACCTTTGACATCAGCATAATGACCTTCGCTGCTCTCTTCAGTGGATGGCTTGGTCATATCCATATAGAAGTCGTCGGTTTCTTGGACGTCTTGTCGGTTGGCGTCTATGTAGCCATGGTCGTCGGTGTCAACATCGGCCTCTTTTTTTTGCATGTCCATGTAATACGCTGGATTGAAAGTACATTATAATGCTATCATCATCGTCATCATCATCATTAACACCGGCCGTCACTTATCAACACCACCASCAGCATGATCACCATCATTATCACCATTATCTCTMTCATCATCAACAACACTATCATCAACATYATCATTATCATCATCATCAACAACAATTTCATCATCATMAACATCATCAATTAACAACAWYAWYAWYATTATYATCATCATCATTATCACCATCAACACTGGCACCACAAGAATCATCAACATCATCCATTAATGATATCATAATCAAAACCACAAGTATCATCCRCATCTTCATCATCACCATCATCAACACCAACATCATGACACATTCATCAAAATGATRATTACTTAACCACAGTACATGAACGCCTGCCTATGCAATGTCATTGAAACACCTTGATATCCATCCACAAAAACTCAACTCGATTTTCATTCACAAGATAACAAGTCAAGTATCACGAATTCCTTACCTTCTTGGTCTTGCTCGCGTTCGGCCATTTCAACGTAGGCCGGCTGTGACCATAGTTGTACATTGATATAGCCAGGTGCCATCTGAAGGTATTCTGCATCTTTCTCTTCCATAGATTCGTAAATTCCCTCTTCTTGTTGTCCCTGMAAATTCATTTTAAATATGATTTCATCTTACGATGTATCAGTTATTAATTYACGCTGAACTAAAGTTTAAAGAAATATACGATAAAAGTTATGTGTGTAACACGTGYCTAAAAGCGCGGGAAAACCAGCCACGCATGCGTAGTACTCAATCTTCTCGAAGGAACAAGGTTTTCTATCTTCTTGCAYTTTATTTGCAGCAAAATAAAGACCACTCAGTTGTTCTCTAATAATCTTCCGTATGTATTAATCTAACCTGAAATGTTAGTATCTCGTCAGCTAGCTCTTCATAACCGCCGTTTGAAGCTATTTCATTTGGTTTCATTCCTTTACAGTTTTTCAACTTAGACGCCTCGGAGACTCCAGGACATTGAAGAAGACAGTCTTTGGTTAAACGAGARAGCCCAAATGCTGCAGCGAAGTGGAGTAATGTTGGATGAAGAGAATCAGAAGGCTCTGTGCAGGATAATAATGGTAAATAAAAACTATTAATATACTCAGCTTACGTGTTAATATTAAATCCTGTATTTTAAGTTTAGTTTGGTTGTTTTAAAAGTTTATTCTTAATTGTTCTGTTCTGGAAATGAAAACTAGTCTTATATAAATGGTAAAGAATAGCTGTTTAAGCAAAGAAGTGACACTTTTAAGGTAAGAAATAGAAAATATATATATATTGCGCGCCATCTTGCATAACTTATATATTTATTCCAGAATTTTTCCTAGGGGAGGGGAGGTATAGTAGTATAGACAGACTATATCCAGGTTATAAACTAAATATTTTTCAACATCACTACAAAAATTGATGATGATGTAACGTATGAAATGACATTCCCATCTTGTCTGTATAAGTTGCATTTCCTCATAAAATAGTCAACATATTATCATTATCATCATCAACATCATGATATCATCATCACCACCATCATCGACAATAAAGCAAGTTTAAATTTCACCAAATAAAAAGATACCCTCTTACCTCTACCAATACTGTCATTATGAAGGCCAATTAGATTGAAGCCTTTCGGCATATTGCGTTTGAATGTTGCCGCCAATGCATCATCGAGTGCAGAGATATCTGACGGCGATATCCCCAGTGACTCACACATAAATGTCACAGGGTCTCCTGTGTAGTCTTTTAAAATGTCTGCAAGAATCTCTTCTCTTGATAGAAATTTAAATGTTTTGGTTCCTATGATTTTGGACCCTTCGTATGTTCGATGGCGCACATGAATTTTAACTTGCTCCACGGGATGGTAAACTAGAAAGAAAGGAATATAGAATAACTCTGATTGAGGATTATTCACAGCAATTTATATCAAAACAAACATGTCTATATGGCTTTCATTGCTATATACACTGATAAAGACAACAGTTGTAACATGAAAGCTTTGGCTTGGTAGCTTTACATATTCTGATTGATGGCAGCAATTGTTATCATAAAAATGGTTATTATGCTGCTTAAGATGTTCGTGCATGTGATTGCATTTAGTAAATGCATTCATTAAATCTATTTCTCTACTTTTTACAAGCAATTAATGTTTTCAAAATTCTACATACTTGGAGCCTCAACAACTAATGTACAATTGTTAATTTTGTTTGCTTTGACATCCATCTTGGAACGCTTGTATCCTTTGAATTCTGCATGGTAGCTTCCCTTRTCAGATAGGTTGGTGTTGAAAATAAGAACTATTTTTTCTTTCGCCTAAAAATAATAGAATGTGTTTTTAAGATCAATAAAAAGGTATGAATGTATAAGACCAATTGTCTAAGAAAATAAAACCCAACAAAATTGAATTTCTATATTAAAATAATTATTATAATATTATCTAATAAAATTTAAAAAATATCTCATTAATATTTTACTTACATTATACTGTCCCTTGTTTGGAATTACTTCTAACAATTTCAATCCTGAATTTAAAAGAAATAATTAATGAAAAAAAAGAAATTCAAAAAAAGAAAACACTGRTATCTCTTAACTCATGCTGCAAGCTTAACCCCTTTGAGTTGAGTTAACAAGTGCAACAAATGGCACAAGTCTAACTTGGGAACACACTTTTCTTTCTTCTTAATACTTTACAACATGAATCGAAAAACCTGAGGGCAGCTAGAAATATTTCAAGAATGTTTCTTAACCAATCAGAAGTGTTGTTATCTTTCCATTATCTTGCAATTAGAAAGTCAATTTTGATTGGTTAAGGAATGATAGAACATTCTTGGAATATTTCTAGGTGCCCACAGTTTTTCAGTTAGAACTGTAACAATATAAATAAATACATAGACATACATGATTTATTTGCAAACATAAGGTCAGAAGATTAAAATGGTAGCTAAGAGCTAATGTGGACCTCCTATCTATAAAAGTACTTATTATATGACTGTGAATCTTAGAGCCTGGACACTAGCAAATCGAGCAATCTGATTGGATAGATCACATCGCGGACTGGTCTAGATTCTCCAGTATTAACYGGTCCGATCGCATATTAATCTTAYGGCGAAAACATTTTGTCCTTTTCAATGAAAAATGGTCATATAATAAAACTCTTATCAACTGAGCTTGGTCGGTCCATACGGGATAATCTTGACCTCGGTCGGGTACAGACCTCGGTCAAGATTATCCCATACAGACCTCCCGCTCGGTTAATAAGATCTAATTATTAAATCTAAAAATATAACGATAAAACCCAACCCTAAAATGTAAATTAATAAATAGAAAACAAACAAATAAATATAAAAAGCTAAAAATTCTAAAATTTATATACCTATAATGTTTATTACCTTCTGATCTTCCTTCATGATCAGTGTCAATTCCAGATTCTGATGAATTCATGCTGTGGGTATAATAGAAATAATTCCAATCATATTAATCTATCATGCATCTAATTTATCATGTACTACCATTAAGCTCATATTTTCTGACTTAATACTTTTTATTTATTCTTTTTCATTTATCCTTTGTCATTTCTGTTATATATCTATTTTTCTGCCATTCATCCCCTCAATTTTTCTTTCTCTTTTTGATATAAGTAACTTATTTTCCGAGTTTTGGCTTTTTTCCCCTTTCTCTCCCTTTCTCTCCCTTTCTCTCCCTTTTGTTTTCATTTTTTCTTGTTTCACATTTTCTCTTTCGTGTTTTGTGCAATATATATACAGTATAACATCTAGATTGCTCTAGAAAAACAAAAAATATGTTGAACACGATATTTACTTGTAACCACTACTTTCTYGTTATCATAATATTTGCTAATTAGTGAGCTATAAATGAAAAATGAATGTGCAAATGATGGGATGGAAGCAGTCTAGGAAATTCAAAGTTAAAAATACACGGATTAAATAACATGAAAATATAAAGTGAAAAAAGAATTAATAGTGAAAGATCAAAGATAAAAACAAGAAAAATGTTGTGAGCAAATGATAGGATGGAAGCAGTCTAGAAAATTCAAAGTTAAGAATACACGAATTAAATAACATGAAAATATAAAGTGAAATAAGAATTAAGTATAGTGAAAGATCAAAGACAAAAACAAGAAAAATGTAAACAAGTATGTGATAATCTAATAACTTATTATAAACCCAATAAAATCATTGAAATGTTTGATTAATTCTAACTGTATATAAAATATTCCTGATGATTTCACTATAACCCAGCAAATTGTTATCGGCAATAATCCTGAAAAAGCTTTCTTTCAGAATTTGCAGTAAAAATCTAATTTTTATCTCTTTGAAAGTTATGCATGGTAATTAAAACTTAAAGATGAAGTTGTATATTTAACTTTCTAATTTTTTTATGCATTTTCTTATAAATGTCCAAATAAAATAACAAAATTTTAAAATATTTCTTTACCAAAAAGTTAAATAATTTTTTCTTGAAACTTTATGCAGATAAAATTATGTCAATTGGTAATCTCAATAAAATGAGTCCAATTATATAGAATATTGACTACAATGAGAGGTCATTTTCATTCAAGCATTCAGACATACCATTGTTCATTTAATACAAGCCATTATCTTTTATATTAAGTTATGTTACAAGTTCCTGTTCCTGTTTTGTGACCTGCATAGCTGATTCAGTGCTAACAGCAGAGTGTGACATTATCATCTCTGACACAAGCTTCTAATGAGCCAACAAATAAATAATATATTTAGTTGAAAGGGAAAGACTATATCAAGTTACTCCAAAATATCTGATTGTTAATAGTATAATTGCTACTGAAAAATTTATATTATTACAACTTATAATGGTTTTTCTTTGGGCTCTCCAGGCATTACACATCTTTGTCCTGAATAAATTCTGAATTCAATAGGTGAATTCCTAGAGGAAATACTAATACCTAAATCAGCAGATTATGAACTTCCTATTTAGTAATGATTTACATTTGGTGTGCTTATCCTCCACTAACCACCTCCCCCTCCTGTCACACACCCGTYCCTCTCCCCCTCAATTTTACAGTTGGTTAATCTATAGAAGGCATTAGAATGCCATCAGGGAGTCAAGCCAATCTTGGCAGTCAACTCAGCAAGTCATTTCTCTCTAGTGTTACCATTGAGTAAATTGTGACAAATCTGCAAATGTATTATGTATGACAAGAAAGAATGAAATTCATCAGCAAAAATAAAAATTTAAATTAGAAAAAAAAAAATTTTTTTTTAAACATATCTACATCATTATTATTCTATCAAACAATACCTAAGAGTCCCCTAAAAAATTGGTATAAACACAATGAATAGTTTAATATATATTCTGGAATCTAATGATATCTTAAATATTTTAGTTTTGAATCAAAGTGACAATGAAATGGAATCTTGATGGGAAAAAAGAACTTGTCAATCCTATTTTGAATTTAGAAAACGTTTATGTATACCCTATACTGCCTTGCAAATACTTTCCACTCCCAGAACAAAACAATTTTAAGTTCATCATTTTCTTTCCAAGAATTACTGAATCGTGTACCTTGTTATCCTACTTTTTGAAAAGAGCAAATATGATTGAAATCATGCCACACAGCATCAAATTTTCATTATTTCATTTCCTTACAAAAGAAAGATWTAAGGGAATCTTTCCATGGCTGATCATGTGATAAAAACAAACTCAACACAATTCAATGTSTAGGTTATTTTCTTTAGCTTTGCAATATCACATACATAATATTTATTCTCCATACGAATAGGAATTATAAAGATTGAGTAAGGATCATTGTAATTCTTTAATATTTTCATAGCTGTATTCTTAGTAAATCAATATAAAGTATACATTCTTTTAAAACAATCATTATTATTGGCAATAGTGATGTAGAAATATTTCAATATCGTGACTCTGATTACTCGCGAGTTACAAGATTCTGATCATTTTCTGAAATGTCGTGATCAAGTATGTACGGTTTGTGACATCTGTCAAAGACGGCGCTTAAAATATACCATAACCTAGGACGTTACATTCGAACTACAAGACCGACCTTATTGTCTGTTACTTTGATGCTTTTCACAAACATAATATCATTTTAGAAAACACAAATCAGAAATAAAGTATCAAAGGTTTGAAGTTTAAATGCTTGGCGGCCAAATGCATTGACTTCACAAGGAAATGTAAATATATCTGCATTGGTATTTTTTACTTCCGGGTCTAAATCTCATCAGCTAATTTGGTAAATGCTTTCGCAACCTGACAACGAATCGGCCTAAAAACAAAGCATTTCAAAACATTATAGTACAGTAACTTGAGTAGAGCAAATATTTTTTGTTTAGAACCTTACTTCAAGTTTTCAAGCTCGTTTATATGAGTCTCGCAAGGGGTTTTGTTTAAACACGCCAGGGCAAAGTACCGAGTTGTTCCTCAACACCCAAAAGCCCATATTTCGTAGGAGTTTCGTCTTACATCGAATTCTATAAAGAACAAATGCATTCTTTACAGGCCAAAAAGACAGGAATCGTATAATATGAAAGTGCAATTTCACGTCTTGCTCAGACATTCCTCAGGACRGTTAATGTTTCAAAACAGTTCTGGCTTACCTTCAAACTTCAGAACAACAGATCGACTTTAGTTTAAAGCCTCAAAAACTTGTAAAGCAATCCCTTGCTCCTGAAAAATGAATTGATTTAAGAACCCGAAGTTAGGAAACCATGTTTTTGGAGTTTCATAAGCCGCTTTGACGGTGAAACGTTGGAACGGATTGATTCTGTCGAACCCGACTACAATATTAATGATCGCTGAAGATATTGTTTACCTACTACCTTATTTGGGAGTATGACACCTTCGAAAAGGGATCTCCCCAGTTTTTTCGCTTGATGGTCTTATTCTAAAAACGTTTATTAACGTAACTCCTGACCACTAGATCCTGGCTATGAAATAGTTTTTTTTTTCAGAAGAAATACTGTACCTAATATTTAAAATGTCTAGTGAAGGCTAATTATTGTGATGTCCGGTCACGCAACTTCAATCTTAATTGTGTTACCAAATGTCACGAAGGAAATATCATCATCACAGGCAAGCAAGAAGACCCACCAAATTTCGATTGTGTCGGAGTGCAAGAAAAAAAGGATTCCATTTCCGCGTGGAATCAAAATACACGTTTTCAGTGTGATATTTTTGTAACTGCGCGTTACGCAGATTTGATAAATCGGACGAAAAATATTGTTTGCGATTTGTATTTCATTTCAGGAATATAAAGAGGTAGGTGTTGGCGATTATAATGTTTTAATTTGTTAGCGCAGAACCGTTTGCATGATCAACTCTTTTTTTAATCTTGTCGGATATCCGGAAGCAATTATGAACAGTTACAACAAAAACTATTAATTGAATGGTCCATCTTAGAGTGAAGTCATATCGAACCCGTGAAATACTGTAGATATAAGCCTAAAACACAATAGGGGACCCTAATTCCATTATTTTTTACTATTACACTCGCACTAGTATTTTTTATTTCACGGGTTAAGTGCCTTCACTCTAAGTGTAAAAAGAGTTTGCACTAGGTCCATAACTTGATTCGAGGGTTTTCTCCGGGCTCTCCGCCGGTTTTCCTCCCTCCGCAGTGGTTTGGAAGATATATGGTTTCAGTGTTATCACTTGTTGCGCAAGTCAATCTCCACTCATCAAGGTCGATTTCAGGCAACATGCTCTTGCAGACCCTCAAAGATGGAATTAAGAAGGAATTACTGAAATTCTTTTCTTTGCTTGCTTTCAAAACGCTTGTACCTTAATTACTATCACGTTTTATTGCTCAACGTGTGACAGTGACGCAGTCAGAGAACAGTTTTAGACAGGAATCGCAAGGAATGGCTGCTGAATATAGTAGGCATGCGGTTTATCAGTATGCAAGACGTTCCCTGTGGTGGCACATACTTACAAAATGTACACATTGAAACCATTCTCCTTTGGAGTTCACATCTTTAAAACTGAAGATTTGTCAACTGTTGCGCGTGTATCAAATTGAATGATTTCGTGCATTAGATTAGACGTGCAAGAGGCCCCATTGCGCACGGGTCGATAGGGTACATGAATATATGCTTGGGTGATTCCAAAATTCAAGAGGGGCTATGCGGTCTGTAAGATGTGATACAACTGAATAAACTGAACAGTGCCTCGTAAATATTACTATAAGGACCACATTAGAAAATATCGAGTCACAGGATAGCTAGTTAAAGGGGGTGAAAAAGACCAGAAGATTGAGGATTTTGGTTCAGGGTCTCCAAAAATTTAAAGTATACACTTGTGACCCCCTCCTCCCAAATTCCTACGCAAAATATGTGACCAAGCGCGTTACTGAACTTGCATGTTTTGCTCACGGAGCAGGAAGTCGATTGAACAAGACCATCAGATCGGATAGCACGTAAAAACGGTTTTCGTCACAATGATTTGACAATGAAACATAATTTGCGTGAAACTTTGCAAGTCTCTCCAGTGAGAAAGGAAGTACAAAATTGTTGTTATTAAGATCGATGACTGAATCTGAATCAAACTTGGCAGTGAAGAGTATTGCTTTGGATGTTTGCTGACGCTGGGATTGATCGACGCTAGAACGCAAATGCATGGACAAGGGTGGGGTGGATAGGGAAAGTTCCATAGATTTTCAACACCCCCTATGATGGCTCTTGTCAAGCCTCTAGTCGTTTTCAATACACTGTTAATAATTATATTTTCTTTCACCATTCTAAATATTATTCTGTTATTATGCATACTTCCTCGTTAATATACACAACATAAAAACGTCTGCGCATGCTCTGAATCCGTATGCAAATTAGTCAAAACATAAGTAAATTTGACTTTGAAACATGCCTGATAAATTGGACTTCACAAAATGCCAAAACTTAGTGTCCATGCTTGAAACGTAAAGCCAATTCTTTCATRTTGTGTTTGTTAAGACAGTATCTTGATCTGACAAAAGTATACTCTCGAACTTTTTTGTTTACTTTGAGAAAACAAAGTATTTTCTCAAACTATTCAAAATTCTTAGAAAACGTGCTGAAATGCACGCATGCGCAAACGTTTTTCTCTAATGTCTGCCAACACACTAGATGGGACCACTTGAAGAAAGTTAACCAATCACGACAGAGTGGAAATAAAGAAATGAACCAATCAGGAACAAGGAATGAAGCCTGGATATATGAGGATAGAATTGCTGCCATTTTCATAAACATACAAACTCTGGGTCTGCAAGTGCACGCTCAAATTTGGTCTTTCACTGCCATCAATCAAAAATAATCAGTCGATACCTTTCATATTTTTGACTGGCAGCAGCGAAAAACCAAATTTCAGTGTGCAGCTCAGAGACACAGAGTTCGCATGTTTACAAACATTGCAGTAAATGTTTAAACCATGAAAATATAGGAATAAGTGATAGTGATTCAATAAGGTCAATAATACTAATTTTGCTCTCTCCTGAMTGGCCCAAGTTTTTTTCACCTTAAAAATTGGTCAATAGACCTATCCCGAATTCGCTTGACTGACCACAAAACAATGGTTTGAAGTCGAGACTGAACTTGATTCTTTTATTCATCAAGTTCAACCTTGACTTGAAACCATTGTTTCGTGACCAGTCAAGCGAATTCGGGATATTTCTATTGGTCTCGGTTAGTGTCTGTCGTGTAAATGGCAAAGAAAACAGGGTTTTTCTTTGTCTTCCATTAAAACATTTGACTTACTCAGACCACAGTTTCATTTCGGCTTGAATATTTGAAAAGGGAGTGGTGTCATAATTGTCGATGGAAAAATAATGACCAATTGGTGTAAATGGTCCATTATGTATTTTTCAAACTCTTTGGAAGTATTTTAAAAATTTCTCAAATAAATAGACAAAATTTGAAAATGCAATCGTTTAATGTGCAACAGAAAATGGAAATGATTAACAATGGAATATAATGGATTAGGTGAATCCCTACGGCTTTCAATCAATCCAATGCATCAAGCAATTTATAACATTTTTCCAGCAATTACGATATCTCCTGAACCAAGCTCCTCAACTASAGCAGCATCAGTTCTTAGGCATAAATACAATACTTGCTTTTTCATCAACTTTTGTTTCTACTGAATGCACAAAGCCCATTAAAACAGGAAATCAGTTCATGTTGTAGTATAAATTCATTCCTTATCAATATGAAAATGACAAAAATCAACTAAACTAGGAGTATGTACGACTCCATTATATGCAGGCTTAGCTTCAAATCCAGGAGTTGCTTGTTTTGTTATTCTAACTTCTGCTTTTGTTTACCAACCTCAGAAGTGAAGCCAAGCCTGCATACACTGGAGTTTTAAAGAGTTATTTATTAGGCCGGTGCCATGAATATAATGATCAAGTGATTGCTTATTTACACAGCAAGTTAACAAAGTTGCTCAAGATACCGGTCATTATTTATTGCCTAATGGGGCCACAGGATTTAATTAGTTTATTAGCCACCATTAATAATAGTTCCGAGTCAAGAATGGAGTTATCACGCACAATACACTATAGTTTTACTATGCATAGCAACTCCAGCCTTGACTTGGAACTTCTATTTGTGGTAAATAAACAGAACTGTTTTTGGGTCAGCTATACATTGATCAGGCATCAAAGGGGGCTACCCAAAAATGTGGAAGTAGCAATTTCTAGTAAGGGGTGGGGTGTGTTGGGGTAAAGGGTCATAAAAATACAGGGTCAGTCAATTTTAATGTTTCAACAAAATCCTTTAAGCCTCTGGGTGATAAATAATGACCTGTCCTTAAATCAATTAAATAATTAGCTGATTAATATTGTTCTATAATGGTAGCTTCTACTTCGCCATAGTCCTGGAACGACATTTAATATCCAACACATATATATGAACAATGTGTGTGYGCATGCAAATAGATGGCTACTATACTACCTACTCTTCATTTACAAAAAGCTGGTAATGACTAATTAAGACTGAGAACCAAAATTTTTAAAAGCCTCAATGGCAAACAAGCTTTTTCATAAAAAGGAAAGTAATTTGACAAGCATGCCAAATGTCAAGCATAAACAAAGGTTAAAAAGTAACTACTCAAACTTTATGTACCCGGTCCCAGTTGGATAGCTAGAACTATAGGCAGTGCTATCACTGCTAGTCACCCCATAGTTAGATGTAGTTGTGTATGAAGGATTGTCTGTAGTGTAACTGGAAGCAGTGGTGTTACCATTGTATGCTGTAAGGTAGCTGGATGCGTAATTGGTAGGGGCTGCAACGGCAGCAGTAGGGGTCTTAGCAACATAACTGCTGGCTGCATAGCTTGGTGTAGGAGGGTAAGCCGTGCTACTGGAAGCTTGGTTACGATACCTAGCATTTTGTTCCAGAAGCACCTCATTAGTAGCCTTAAGATCAGACACTTGCTTTTGAAGATCACTGACCTGACGCCTTAAGGATTCATTTTCCTCCTTAAGGTGACCGTAATCGGCATCTCCATATGAATCCCTGCGACGCTTCCTTGGATAATCATCAAAGCCATAACCACCTGGAGGGCCATATCCTCCCTTGTCGTCTTCATAGCTGTGTCTGAACTTACAAGCTGAGCCCCTGGTACATTTGTTATTGAGAAAGTCTTTGCAGATAGGGTCTCCTCGATTTGCTCTCGTGGGATAGCCGTGTCCTGGTACTCTGGCAGGCATTGGTGGTCGTCTCATTGGAAGCTGACCTGTGCGAAGGTAGACTTTTTCCTCTGTATTTGAAATATGCAGATACTTGCATGTGGAACGGCTACATTTTCCATTCTGGAAGTCACGACAAATCATGGGACCACTTTCCATTTCCTTACCCAAACCATCAGGATGACTAAACTTGCATTTTCCTCCTCTGTTGCAGACACCACGTTGGTAGTCTCGGCAGATTTGGGAATCATATCCGGTTGCAGATCCAGAATTGGAATCATTTTCATTGTTGTTTGTGTCACTGGCCAGTTTCTCTTCTTCTATTGCTTGTTCTGACATGACTTTCTATAAGTAACTTCTATCTCAGCTGATAAATGAATGCGCTTCTTGGACTTGTTGAAGGGCTGCCGCTGCTGCGCTTCTTGCCGCAAAGTTGTCTGCTGCTATCCTGATCTTAGCACGAGCTGCTGTTTGCCGCACGCCGCAATGGAAGCTGCACAGTACAAAGGCGCAAAATGAGTGTTAGCTGTGGCACAAAACAACAAAGTTTTTCATAATCAAATAAACTTAAAACACATCTTAATTTTACAGTAAGAAAACAGATGCTCACATAGACATTTGTCATCTAACAATTTCATCAAGGCTTGATAGAAGATCACATGAATTCGAAGGGCAAAATTGATAAGGAAGAACTAGATAATGGAGAGTATTGAAAAGTGAAATTATGTATTCACTTCCCTTCATCGTAGTGGCACTCCCAGAATAACATATTAGCTTATCGAGTAATAATAGTTCCGTACMCAAATAAAATAGATAAGGAACTTTTAGTTAAAGTATTAATTTGCTTCACAACATGCTTAACATCTTCCAAAATGTCGTGGCTTCAAAGRAGTTTTTCAGCTAAATTCACAGACGCTCAAACGACATATGGCAAGCAATCGTCAAGCTTTCGACAGATTTCAATAAAGCAATGATTTTAAGCTAAAAAAATCGCGCATACTTTGCCTGATTCCTTTGCTAACTGTTTTTGGAACTTCCTTTTTGTGTTTTTGTCAGGTTTTGACAACGAAAAGACGCTAAATTGGCGGAATTTTTGGCAATATTTCCTCCTGAACTCCTAATGAGGATGACAAAATGGCCGCTTCTGATACCGCACGCGGTTCGTGCGCATATCATTAACCAAATATGGTCTTCACGACCTTATACGGTTAAGGAGGCTGAAACCTTAGATGACGTTACTATAGCAATTCTTATACTTATTGTAAAATTCATAAAACGTAGCATTGATGTTCACATTACCMTATATAAGTCTGGATAATGGCCATTTTTCAAAACTATAAATTAACCAAAGAAAAAGAAACATGTAATCTTATAGAATTTTTTAAAAGTAGAACGAAATTCTGAAATCACTTACAATCATAAATACCACCAAATCGTTTAGGTTAAACTGGATTAAAGAATAATTTTCCCCGAAATTAGTAAAATAAGAAAGAGTTATAGAACTCTTTTTTTGGCGGGGGAGGGGAGGAGAAAAGTCCCTTTGTTACCTATTGGACAGACGCGTATCACGTGACACAACAGCATGTGGAAAACAAGACCACAAGATGGCGGATGAAAGCTCTGAAAAAACAGCCGAAATAACAGAAGAAAAACAAGAGATTACGGACAATTTAGAAAAACAAAATGATGAATCTAAGACAGAGAATAATGATAGCGTATCAGAACCAAGTAACGATTCAGAAAAGCAAGATTTAAATACCGAAAATGCGATTGGAAACGAATATACCTCTGAGGAAAGTCAAAATGCTTCTGCTGTAGAAAATGTATCGATAAAAACCGGCTTTTTAAGATCTTTTATTGAAAAAAAGAAGGTATCTCAGAGCTCCGATGYCTTGGAGGTTTCTGAGAATAGCAATGGGTGAGTAAGTTTTTTAAAGTCTTATTCATCATTTCTAGAAATTAAAGTTGAAGTTTAATTTTGCATTTGGCTGTAGCTTACCTTTAAAGGGGCGCTAAATGAATTAAGATATATACAAACACGCGATTCAATAGATTTGATTTTTGATCCTGTATATAATGAATGAATTCTCCTTTGAATTGGGATATTGATGGAAAAAAAATGGAAGTAAACTATGTGGATGGGATTACTTGAGATTTTTTGAAGTGTTTAAGTCTGTCTCGGGATCCGAAGGGGAGGAGAGGAGAAAAGGAATGTGTTGTGTTGATATATTAAGTATTCCATTATACATTTTCATATTTTCTTTTTTCATCTTATCATACGAATCCTTTGTATTTCTTAATCTAAGATGGATATGAATAAAGCCATTATGATGTATCATAATGATGTAGCATTTTCACAAGACTATCTTTTTCGTTCACTCAGATCAAAAACTGATAAAACAGATGAAAACACAAGTAATCAAAAAGAAACAGACAGAGCTAAAAGTCTTTGCAAATGGCAAGGCTGTAACACCAATGTAATCTCACATTCTGAACTTTCACAACATGTACATCAAAATCATGTTGAACCAATGGTTGTTCAAGACGTCTTTGTCTGTCTCTGGCAAGGATGTAAAGTATTCAATAAACCAAGCTGTTCTCATTCATGGCTTTCAAAACACATGAATGGACATACAGGCGACAAGCCATTTAAGTGTATGATTGATGGATGTACTATGTCGTTTTCATCGTGCGAAGGACTCTCACGGCATGTTGCAGGACATTTTAATGAGCCTAAAGCTCCCAAAAGGCAACGAGGTGAACAAAAAGAAACTCCTAAAAAGAATTTAAAAAAGAGGAAAATGAGAGTCATAAGGAAGAGACTTCCTCCCTCAGAAGGTTTGGATAATAATATTTCATAACTGTTTTGATTATGTTATGCTAACTTTGTTTCCAGCCATATGATTCAAGCAGTGACATCAGCATTTACCTGTCAACTCTTTCTTGGCCAATGGTACTATATGTTGCCATACAGCTGCAAAAACATTTTGAACAAATGGCTAATGAATAGCTCAGTATTGCAATAAGTTACCAAAAAAAGATTGTGAAATTTGTATCAGAAATCACATGATCTCAAGTATATTTGAAATTTATAGGTACGACTGATGTTTTGAAAGTTTTCAAAATTGGATAAGCCTTTAGGAGAGAACATTTTGAAACATCATGAGTATCTATGAATTCCAAATTGTATGAGAAGATTGTGCGATTTTTTGTTTATGTTGCAATATAAACTTAATTAGGAGTCTTCAGAGTACAATTTGGGATTTGAATGTACTCCTCATGTTCAATCAAAATCAAGTAATTTTGTTGAGTGTAATTATAATTAAAACAGCTGGAAAATGTCTGGCCAAAATTGGAACTTGTCCAGTCAAATGCTTCTTACGCTGTTCTCTTGAGTGGTCACACTGATTGGTCACATGTTGATTAATGCAATGGGACAAGTTATCATGTCTTGCCATTGAGTATAAATCATTGTTAGCCCTGCATCCATATGATTCAGTTCCTCTTATTGTATTCAGTGTTATTAATCTGACATGTGTGTTTTTTCTTCTCCTTAGTGAAGGAAGACTTTGTAGATCCTCAGACTGTACAAAGCATTAAAAAGAAACTCCCTAATATGATGCCTCTGTCATGTTATGAAATAGGAATTGATGGAACCAAGATAATACTACATAGTAAAGTATGTCACATAGCTTGAGTGACCATAAAACAATGACTCCAAGTGGAAATTGGACTTAAAATATAGCTGTAAATATGTATGAATACATCAAGACCAACTTTAGAGCAATGCAATTAAACYGTGAAATAAAATCAAAATAAATACTAACTAATAGTATCTATTTAGTGACTAATAGTTGCTATTACTCAACCAGAACATTCATCATACAAAGACATATTTTCTTTAATAAATGTTCTGGTTGAGTGATAGCAACTATTAGTCACTAAATAGTTATTAGTTAGTATTTAGTTTGTTTTTATTTCACGGTTTAATTGCATCTGCTCTAGTCTCCTATGCAACCACTATTAGTGTTGTCAAGTACCTACTTAGGGGAGTGTATTTTGCATGACAACACTGATAGCAGCTGCATAGGTGGCAAACTTCACTTTTGAGACATTGTTTCATGGCCACTCGAGCAGATTCAGAAAGGGTCCATTTTTGGGCAATCATTCAACACTTGACACCTCATAAATAGCTCTAGTTTTAATAAACATTTTCCYTAACTTTATTAATTTGACTGTTTTACTCGTTAGATTTTTGGGAAAAGGATAAATGAGAAGAGTGGTGAAACAGATATTTTGTTACGCTGGTCACCAGATGAACTGTAAGTACTAAAAAGAAACACACAAAATCAAAACAATATTGAAAAAAACATCTGGGCTGTACTAAGTCAGGGCACAGCTTACTCAGATCCAATTAGGATATAGTGTATCAGGTTTTATCAGAGGTGCGATAGGAAAACATGAGAACCTGCAAAAAAAMCAAAAAAACAAGAGAATTGTAACATATCAGATTGAGCTGATCCTCACAGCATATGAAGCAACTTATGCAGCTGCAYATTGAAAGACTCAAAAAAAAATCTGAGTTTTGAGCGGGATTTGAACTCATCCCCTGGCAATTCCGAATTGTAACGATTAACTCTACTCACGTGTGAAGCTGATTCTGGAAATCGAACCTCAGACCCCAGAGGTTAGTACACTACTGCTACATTACCCTTGATTCCAAATGATACTAACTGCAATAGTGTTGCAACTGCTCACAATGTACCCATACAAAAAGTGTTTGTATTTATAATATTTTTATGTATTTGTATGCAGAATACCAGATGAATGGATCCCATTAGAAGATTATGAGAAACATAAATCAAGGACAATTAATATATCTTCACTTCCTAATGATGTTGTTGCTGATTTAGATCCTGCATTTTACAGAAGAATGTCTTACAGGAAACACCCAAGAAAATGATTAGTTGCTGCCTATTTACTGCTATACTACCTGTCATCCTATTGCCATGGTATTTGGTTATAGCTACCTGTCCTGCTTTGACTATAGTGTCTAGACTTATTGTCTGTCATACTTTGCATCCATGGTACCTGGAGTCCTCATTGTATGTCATCACAACACAATGATACCTGGTCCTTATAGTTACCTGTCCTACTTTGAACATGGTACCTGGACTTAATCATTGTCTGTCATCCCAACACAATGATATCTGGTCCTCATAGTTACTTGTCCTACTTTGACCATGGTACCTGGACTTACTCATTGTCTGTCATCACAACACCATGATATCTGGTCCTTATAGTTACCTGTCCTACTTTGAGCATGGTACCTGGACTCCTCATTGTCTGTCATCACAACACCATGGTACCTGGTCCTTATAGTTACCTGTCCTACCTTGACCATGGTACCTGGACTTACTCATAGCTTTACATCATCTGATCATGGTATGTGTTACCACTGCACTTTTACCTGAACTTGGACTTGCACATTGACTGGCCCCCCCTTTGACCATGTTATCTGGTCCAGCTAAATATCTATCATATCTATGTTACCTTGACATATTCACTACTACAGTGCATCAGCTTGTTTTGTATCTAACTTAACCATGGTTGATCTTGTTACCCAATGTCTCTTTAACCATGGCATTTTCATCTTACTTAAATCATGATAAATTCTGATATCTATAATATGAATTATATTTAAATCAAAGCACTTTATCCTTTTGTTAAAAACTGTCTGTCTGCCCATCTCCATACTTCTATCTTTTGTAATATAATATTTTCAGATCTATTTATTCACCCAATCACCTATTAAATCTGTAGCTAAGAGTATGGAACTTGTTTAGAGGGGTGGGTTAGAGGGGTGGGTTAAAGGGGCTGTTCGTTTATTACTGATTCTCTTGAAACTATTTATAGTCACCAATAGCTCTCATAATGTTAAATGGGGGGGGGGGGTAGGGTTTGGCAATCCTCCTGTTGGGCCAATAGTAGGTCCTGTCATTCCTGGGCAGCCACCGATTGTTAGGATTTAGCTGCAAGTTAATCATACTCTGGGACCAGTTGTTCAAAGCCCGATTAGTGCTAATCCTGGGTTAACTCTTAATAAGACCTATAGAGTTAATCCAGCTTTGAACAACGTGGCCCTGGTGCTGATATTAGCAATTCCAAGGTTGAGGAAAAGATTGGGTTGAGTTGGCAATTTCAGTGCATTGTGGGACTGTCTTAGTAGATATATTTCCAAGATGGTTTCTCTTTGGTCCCGTAAGACAGTGGGAGGGGTGGGGGAGGGGGCATTTGCATCATAACAGGATACTTTCATGTCGCTGTATGTAAATATTGTGTCCATGTGTATAGAATTCATTTCCAGTGTTTTCTACTATATCAGGGGGAAGCAGTCAAGAAAGCAAAGATTGTCATGGGAGGGGAGGGTAAAACATAATTTATGTGTAATATAGAAAGAGAAAACTAATTGAGGTCACATTTGTACCTTTGAAAACTGTTTACTATATCAGGGGGATCCAGTCAGGAAAACAAAGATTGGCTTGGGGGGGAAGGGTAAATAATACTTTATGTGCAATGTAGAAAGAGAAAACTAATTGAGGTCACATTTGTACCTTTGAAAAACTATTTACTATATCAGGGGGATCCAGTCAAGAAAACAAAGATTGGCTTGGGAGGGGAGGGTAAATAATACTTTATGTGCAATGCAGAAAGAGAAAACTAATTGAGGTCACATTTGTACCTTTGAAAAACTGTTTACTATATCAGGGGGATCCAGTCAGGAAAACAAAGATTGGCTTGGGAGGGGAGGGTAAAACATACTTTATGTGTAATATAGAAATAGAAAACTAATTGAGGTCACATTTGTACCTTTGAAAAACTGTGCCAACTGTACTGTAAATATACGAATGTCTAGTTAACTAAAATATTGTAAGTTCTCTATAATGGTGCAGTATTTAAATCTCACTAATTTAATGTTATCCCGAATTTTAATACCAATAAAACAAATATATTAGCATTAGACTAAAGTTTAAAATGTCTCAAATTGTTTCCATTTACAATGCAGAACTCTAGCTTCTTAAACGAATAGAGTGCTCACACTAAATCCGTGAAACAAATACTAATTTTTAGCACTAAATATTGATAATTAAACAATAGAAAACAAAGGATTCTGTATGAAATTGTGCTATTTAGTACTATTTAATGTTCACGGTTTTAGTGCGTGCACTCTATCAAAGCATTGGACTAAAATTTAAACTGTCTCAAGTTATCAAATTATTTTCCATTTACAATGCATAACTCCATAAGTCTCCAAAACAATTATCAAAGCATTAGACTAAAGTTTAAAATATGTCTCATTATTTTCCATTTACAATAATAAAATATCTAGTCTCTAATTAACTCGCAACATTTTGTCCAAATTCACAAATGAAAACAATGGGGACATTTCCAAAGTTTTCATAAACACCATGACTGACTAGATGCATTAGAAATCCTTAAAATATCATTTTTATCAATGAACATGAAACAACCTATGCTCTGATCAGAGTCAGGGCACGGCTAAATCACAGATCGAATAGCGCAGCGCAACCGTGACGTCATAAAAACGAAGACAAAGGCGAAATTCGGACAAACAAACTTACAAGTTTACTTTCAGCAGATAATTTTC